CTGCCCATCTCACAAGGAAGTGACTCTTTTTCCTTCCTTCCCAGGGCAGTTATTCCTTCCTTTACCTTCCTACCCTCATGTTTCTTTTCCTCTTTTCCTGCTGTTTCTGTGGAAAGGAAGGAGGAAACTGTGTTTGTATATGGGTCTACTTGTGCGTGAGAATAGTTGCTGAAACATGAACATGGGGGGCATGCAGGCCTGAGCTTTCACTCGATGAAGCTCTCCTGAACGAATATGGAGAACATTAAGATGTGAGCTTTCATTTGCAGTGTGATGTCAGCCTAGCATGGTAGTCCAGACAGAAAGCAGGCCCAGAAGGACTTATTCTACTTTACTGTAAGGTTACATTAACAGAATCTTGAAAGTCTGAAAGGACATCTCTTCACCCTCGTCTTTACAGCCCAAGAAACTAGGGAGGGTCCCTTCTGAGATGTTTGCCACACCCCCATTCCTTTTGTGGGCTCAGCTGCCTCTTATCTGACCATTGTCTACTTAGCAGCAATTCCCCCTGTCTCCTAAAGTCACTCCTATATACTATTACATGTGAAGAGCTATGCTAACAAAAAGTAGTAATAACTGGGCCTCGCCTTAATGGCAGAAATCCATGCGAGCTACATTTTTCACATCAGGATGGCCTGTGATATTGGTAGGAAATTGTTCCAGCTATACCATTGACCCCTCAAGCATAAATAAACATGATTTAAGAGGTTCTAAATCCAAAGGGTCATTCCCAGACCACCTATGGGGGCATCTGTGGCTATATTTTTTCTCTGCTTCAATCTGTGTTGAAAGTTGATTTGTTTACATGCATTAATCCGGTCTCTCATAATAAAGCAGTTAACGGAGGAGAACAAGCACACTCACTTGTTAGCAACTGCTTGCATGAACTCATCCACCAAGTCATCATACTGTTTCCCACGAACCCTCTTATGCTTTAGGCCAATGTAGAGTGGGTCATTCAGGAGCGCCTAAAATAGAGGGAGAGAAAACAAACACTGTCTGCTTGCATCGCAGGACATTTTCTCCTGCTGGCTAGAAATTTTATTTCTGAATTAGCAGGAAAGCTGATGATTATCTTCATTTCAGGCAGTTAACTCCAAATAGTAAGGCTCTGTGGTGGCTCAGGTTTGGTGCCATCAAGTATGTGGAACCTGGAACCTGGCATATAAAACACTTCTTAAAGCAGCTGTGTCTTTTCCTGGGAACACAGGGTAGCAACTTTAAGATGTGTGGACTTCATCTCCCAGAATTCCCTAGCCAGCATGCTGGCTGGGGAATTCTGGGAGTTGAAGTCCACATAGCTTAAAGTTGCCAAGTTTGAAAAACACTGACATAGGGCCTGTCTGCATCATCTTCAAGCAGCTGTGTCTTTTTCCAGAAACATGCAGCAACTGGCTAATGGCCTAATCTTGGTATTCATAGGAGAAAAGGCATACAGAGACATGGGATGTAGTATCAGAAAAATATTCTTGCAAACTTAGTGTTGCAGTGTCAAAATCTGAACAGAGGTGAGCTTTAAGGTGGTGCAGACAAGGAAAATGTTCATGCTCCAAAACACTTTTTAGAGAATCCAAAGTCCTGCACAGCCATACTGAAGAAGAAGTACCCCATAGCTACAGTGACCATACATCCTTTATCATAAAGGACAGTCCTTTGTTTCCAAAAGTTGTCCTTTAGATCTATTTATTTTTCAAAAACTTACTTCTGTCCTTTATTTTGGTCATTTCACTTTTACCATACAAATGGTATCACTTAATGCACGGTCTTTCACATTCCGGTGAAAAATCTGGAAATGGAATTGTCTTTTTAAAATAAATATACCTATACTGTTTGATTTTAGATATGTTTATTAGAATATGCATTTTGGTAAAGTTTTTCTTGGTTTTGCTCTTGAATTTTCCTTGGTAAAGCAAAGTTATAAACATAAACAATTAACATTTTTAATCCTTATGAACCTCTTTCAGATTTGCCCCTTTTTCAGGTTTGTCCTTTATTTTTTCCAAGAAAATATGGTCACCGTATCTATAGTCCTTCTGGCTTCTGCGTAAATAAATGAGCTCCCTCACAAGCAAGGCAAATGTGCGTATCTGTTACAGGGTAATGTTTGGCCTCTGTGCGGATTTCAGCATAACAATGAAGCTGTGGAAACATTATCCTTCCATGGCACTCCATGTCTCTCTGTTGCACTCCTGCTTGGGAAAATAAGATCAGGCAATTAGCAAGTGCCTTACTAGATAAGGCCAACCTTGACTGTGCGGGAGGGATTTTAATTAGCCCCAAAATAAAAATGTGCACAATGTCTGATTAAAAGAAAGGCTTCGACCTGAGCTCAGTCTCTGTTAGCTGATAATAAAGAGATGCCAGATGCTTTGTACAAGTGTCAACATCACTCACACCAATAAAAGGAGTGAGATTGGATGGTGATGCCCTGTCCACCATATTGCCTGATTTGACTCACACACACACACACATGCCCCAGACACCACTGCCCAAGTGGAAGTGTTTAGGCCTCGTCTTGTAATCACAAACTAGGTACACACAGACACACAGGTCACGCTCTTGACTGAAACATTATTTTCCAACAGAGCCATAACTGCAGCTTAACCAATGATTCATAGGAAGTACTGGCTTAGCTTGGTGGGAAACAGGATTCTGGACCACATAGTGGGAACAGAAGCAGATGCAAAGACTGGGGGACAATTAAGCAGCTTTGATGACTAAGAGGAAAGAGATCTGTTTCTACATAATAGGCTGATTCAGCCATACCAAAAACGGGGGATGTGAAAGCATCTTTCCAAGGGACCCATTGTTCCCACAGTGCTCCCTCACTGACATTTCACATCATTTTGTTCATTGTTTTCCAAAACAGCAAATGCACAGCTGTGTTTCTTCACCAGGAAACATAAAAGGGGATTCCCTGGATTGAAAGTCAAAGTTCCTCTCCACTGTGCCATAGTGACGTCCATGAAGAAAAGGCTATGTTTCCTAGTGCTATTAGCTGCACAATTTGACAAAAAGCACACATTTTATCTCTCGTGCAGATAAAAGGGACTTAGCCTCACAGTCACAACTGGTTCAGTATTTTTCTGGCAGGGGGTCAATAAACCTTTTGCAATATTATCTTATGATGATGACCCACAAAACGATAGCATGCATTATCACTATTTACAGTAATAAAAAAATCTGGGAGGAGAGAGATGATTCA